AGATCACATACATACAGTCTTTGACATCCAAGATAGGTAGGACATAACTAGAAAGCTGGAAACACATTCGTCACTTCATCTCGAATCCAATTAATCCAATGCATGCTTAGTGGTGACAGCATTGTGATATCGCGTTTTGCTAAAATGCGGTGGAGAATGAGAATGGAGACTATGTCAGAAGTAAGTTGTTAGGGATGGAAACTGAAGTACAGCCTGAACACTATCTCTTTTAAATAAAATAAGTATTCAGACTTAGACCATATGGTCAGAGATAGGCAAGCCCAGACCGCTTGATAGGTCATAATATTGTCGTCATTTTCTCTTTCTAATAAGATGGAAGAACTAGCGAGGAAATGACTTACGGGTAGTCTCGAAACGAAAAATATACAGTCGATTGTCATAGCAAATATAACTTTTCTTCATCGGCAACCACACCAAAGAATATGATATGAGAAAATGCCTGGACTTCTTTGAAATTCACATCTGACTGTCGATCAAAGGGCACTCATAGCAATGTGGCATAGTGGGTAACGCGTCGAGATTACGCGCTGCACTATTAAGTTTCGACTCCCACTTGAATTGTGGATGAGATCTAGGTGAAGTCGAAACTGCAGTCTACCCTGGATGAGCACACCTTTAGGGAAAGCAAGGATATGTGAAATTCAATTGAAAAGTCAGCTCAATTCATATCATTGTGGGAAAATTCAATTACCAGTCCTTCCTCATCTTACGGTGAATACATCTCTTGTAATTGTTATACTGGTAGTCTCGAAACCCTACGAAAAATATATAGAGTAAGTACGATTGCAGCTGGCCGCCAAGCTTTGTTTAGTGTTTGATAAATTTGGGCAAAAAATCATTTTAAGCTCTAACCACGGCAGGACAAACGAAACCTAGGTATGATTATATGGAGTCATTTGAAAGAGTTCCGATGACAAATGTCTGAAATAGGCATTTTTATCTGCGAAACAATCTTCCTTTGATTTCCGTTTAAGTCTATTTAGGAGACACTTCCCTCAAATTTTTATATTGTTGGTTAAATGAGTATTGTTGTAGATTATGAAAAAGAACTAGTTTCTCCTTAAATCGTTTAAGGGTATGGAAGGCATTGTAGCTGAATTTCACACAACAGAATGAATTTAAAGTCCCGCGACGCCTTAGAATCTCACTTAGTCTTGTCTCCCAGAAGACTTTCTAGCCCAGGAAGGACAGCAACTTCGATTTAGCCTGGGCCACATCAGCACCTTTACTAGGATGTGAAAGTGGGAAACACACCTCAAGTACAAAAGGAGTTACTTTGCAACACACTCACAAGTGCTAGTGGGTCACACGGCAGATGCGGCATTCTGAGCAAACCATGCCTCTCCCAAATCTCATTTGTAGTGGGCTCATGCTTGAGAATTACCGATAGTCTTGAAAACGACATATCGAAAATAGTTATCATTCCTGACTGAAATAGCTGATACCTATTTGCAGCGCCATTTTAGTGATCTAAATTGTTCATTATAAATACATACTCGGGCTTTGCGCTACTGCATGAACTACTCTGACTTTGCACAATCGAAACAAGAAAACAAGTCGCAGAGTACTACTTGTATGGAAGAAGAAAAGTAAAAGGCAAGGATTCATAGTGGGAAGGCAAAGGCGATGGCGAAGTGTGTTGTTAGTGTAGGAGAGCAGCATTCGTTCACAGAAAGTTACAGAGTCCCACGGCTCACAGGGAGCAGCCAAAAAGCGGCTCTTGTAAAGGGGGATTCTAGCTTAAAATACTCGTATATGAAATGCGTTCACCCAATTTAGTTTAAGGTGTACTTTTTGTGTACTTTTAATTCCACGTTCTGATTAGTTTAGCCGAGAGTCTCTCTTCGGTGTCTATGCTTGCTTAGTCCCCGCGGTACATAGGGCTGATAAGTAATGCTCCGGGTGGTGTTGCATGAGTTGAGAGATAACTGCTTACTGGCTGGTTGTGAGAAAAGATGTAACAAAACGGAAAGTAAAGTAGAGATCACTACACGATTATTAAAATGTGAGTTGGGAGAGGTCTTCTTTACCTTGAATACTACGTCTAATTTTCTGTTAGTTGTAGTGACTGCCATGTAGCAAAGTGGAGTCATAACATCGCCATGGTACTAATGATACGGTATCGCATCCAGCCTGGGTTGATTATCAGGCCTGGACAAGGACGAGACTGCAGTTCATTTCAGGCTGGGTGACAAGCAAGGCTCCATCTTAGTACTGAGTGAAAAGGCTATTTGATGATTGATGCCGCTATACCTTTCAATTCGTTTAAAAAGACAGGTGAGAAGGATTAGTAGGTTGGTCTCACAGGAAACTAAAGAAGGAATGCTCTTTTCCGCCATGTGAAAAAACCGAGATACCATCATTTACTGAAAACTCACCAATCAGCGGCTCATCCTGTTCTTTCTCTCTTTACTTTTATTCAATAGCCTAAGGTGGTTCTTGCGTAATTTCTTAACTTTGTTCCTCCTATTCAGGATGTTATTTGTTTTATTAATTCGAATCGACTCTCTTACTTCCGCTTATCCATAAAGTCTCCATATCTTGGAAAACACTTTATACCACTCTATATTTGTGTATTGTGTTTATATGTTCAGCCACTTCTGATTTTTTAACCTATAAACCTTACAGGCGGTTTTGAGTTATGAGATCCTCTTATTCATGAGTATACAAGTCTCCCTCACATAAACACAACCACATGAAAGCAAAATCGTATGACAACCTTGTCTGCTGAGGGGGTCTAAAGATTCTCAAAAAGAAGATATGATCGATAAAAGTTTAGTTTTTATTTATAAGTTGTCCTGAAGTTTAATTTCCTCTGTAATTCGCATATCTTTTTCGAAAGTTGACGAAAAGGTCGCTTTTGGAACCTGGATGAAGATGGCCCTAACCTCATTTCTTAAAATTGTTAAACTATTGACCATTAATACTATTGGGAAATTGTTCTAAACCAAAATTTTTCTTAGTATTTATAGCCCTTGATCTTAGTGATTTACGTTTGCTAGATGCAAATTCCTTACTATCCTTGATTTTATAGGATCGCTAAGCTAGGCTTTAGAAATTAGTTAGATCTCAGCGGGTCACATTTTTTGGCTTAGTCTCTTTTATTGAATGTTTCATTTATGGTAGGTTTTCGAGACTATAAGTAAGTTATTTTTCTTC